GCGTTCGTGCGGGGGTGTGGGGGGGGGAGGTCTCCTGGAACCACGTTGCATCCGGGGCCCCGGAGCCAGCCCCACGCCCCACCCTGCTCCATGCTTCCCTCCCTCCCTGCCAGGCCAGACCAAGGGTGGCTCTGGAGATGAAATGCGACACCCACCCTGTGCAGGGAGACTCCAGGGAGCCCTGGGCCCTGCGGAGCAATTTGCTCCCTCCTCATCCTGGAGAACAGCGGCTCCTTCCCTCGCTTTGCTCGTTCTTGTTGGTCACCCCCACCCTCATCCTCCAACCCTCATCTCCACGGGGAGCAGGAAGATGCCGATTTCGGGAGAGTCTCTGGCTTTAACGTGCGATCGCTGGGTGCTGCCGAGCTGTGGGCTCCACGGCCCTCCCCCCGTCGGCCCTGGATCGCAGCGAGCCCGCGCGACCCAGCAGGCAGAAAACCAGGGAGGCTCTTCCTGCTGCCCTGCGTCCCGTCCTCCCCCTGCTCCCTTCCATGAATGCACCTCACTGCCCATCCCACTTTTTTCCCTCTTGTCTCTTCTCTTGCAGGTGTCACATGGGGAACCTTCTTAAAGTGTTGACTTATAACGAGCTTGAACAAGGCCCTAATTTTTTCCTTGACTTTGAACGTGAGATGGGATTTTGATTTTCTTTTCCCCCTCCCCTCCTCCCCATTCATGTCATTTTACGTTGGCATCTCAGCGAGGCCCCCACGGCATCAGACCCATCCCCGTATCCATCGTACTCCCCCTCCACTCGCCCACCCGGAGGCCAGGCCCTGCGCAGGAAGCCGCCAGGTGTCGGGGGGGGGGGGGAAACAGGGGGGGCTCCGCCCTGCCTCTCTCAGCTTCACACCTGGCTGGGGATCCCCCCCCTTCCCTTGCTAGTCACTGCTCTGCCAGGGTTCAGGAGCAATTTTTAGAGAGGGGGTGCTGAGCTGCACCCCCGCTTACCTCTGCCCACGCCCATCACTGCCCTTACAGCTGGGGCTAGCAGCCAGGATCCCACCTGTGGGGCTGGAGGCCAAGACTCTGCAAGCCACCCAGGGTCCCGTGTCCAGGTCCTGGCAGGAGGGTCAGCAGCTGAGTGGAACCT